ACAGAAATAAACTTAAAATAAGCATTCAGAAACATTATTGGAGATATCTGACAGGGCATGGACCTGAGCCATCTGCTCGCCTGATTGATGTGGCTGTTGATCCTCAGAGGTCCCTTCCAAACTCAACCTATAATTTAGACTGTTATAATTAAAAGGAAACAGAAGATTGTTAATAAAAAAATATATTTTTTCCTGGTTTTATGCTGCACGTACAACTTTATAGTATCACAAGTATTAGTCAGATGTTCAACAAAATGGGTGTTCTCTTATGCAATTGAAAGAACTCTGTGCACTTTAAAATGTTTTTAGACAGTTCTGATCATACATTTCAATATGAAGATCCGTTCCTGACTTCACCCAGGAGAGGAGAGATTGGATCTAGGGAGATACTTTCGTAAATCTGTCTTGTTTTAACCAAACTATTCTGTTATCTCTCACCATTCACAAGGTATGGTGAAGCAGGAAATAGGAAATATTACCTAGGAGCTCTCTTTTTGTTTATTTTTTAACAAATATAAAATTAATGGCACTTAGAACATTTACACAACTGCCTTAAGAAATTTGGTGTGAGAAATTAATGCCCTAATCATGAATTTAAAACTTTCATTTCCACATAAAAGCTTTTGCAAAGCTTTGAAAAATGCTTTCCAATGCACACTGGAGTTGGGAGAACTATGTTTTGATTTGAACTAGATTAAGAGGGAAAGAAAAAAAAAAAAAAAAAAAAAAAAAAAAAAGACTGCTCTAAAATAGCTTTATATTAAGGGCAAAATATTGCTCTTTGTACAGAATCTGCCCTGTACATATCAGCAACATATTTCCCAAGAAATGGAATTAAAACCAGATGACTGCGTAGCAGAGGGGAATGCTAAGCCTGATTTGGAAAGAATCCTTTAGAAATTCAGGGTCCAGATGGTCAGCTGTAGCTCAAGCCAAGCTAATGCTTGTACTCAGCTGTGTCTGTCAGACTACAGCGAACACCTGTGCTTACTTAAGGGCAACTGTGTAAACCAACTCCCATCTACAAGAGAAAGGAAAGCAACAAATACTGCCAAAGAGACTGTCATTTAATCATCATGAAACTGGCTGCCATAAAGCCTAGTCTCATCACACCTTTGATGGCAGGAGCTTCCCTTCCCAAAGCTTTCTGAAGTGCACAATACTTGTTTTATCATCCTTACTGAAACGTAGGAAAGACTCACAGAGTGACTGCAATCAGCCCTCAAACTACACAACCCTTAGATAAAATTCCTCTACTGCTCTTCTCGTATGAATCCATTTCCAGCTGCTGATAAATTTTACCAAACTTAATTTGTTTGGAGTGCCATTTTTCTAAACACAGGCATATCCAACCTGTGGGCTGCATGTGTACAGCCCATCCCATGGCCGCCCCCCGCACCGTGCTATCATGGCAGTGGCTCTACTTCGCTGAGTGGCTGGCCCCAGCCTGGGGTGTGCACCTATCTCCCACAGAACCTGAAATCAGTGTGTGATCAGCGCAGTCTGAGCTGAAATCAGGGAGTGCCAGCTCAAGTTGGGGGGGAAGTGTAGATCTGCTGGAGGGCAGAAAGGCACTACAAAGAGACCTGGATAGTCTGGATTGACTGGCCAAGATAAACTATGAGTTTCATAGGGCCAAGTGTTGGATCCTGTATTTTGGTCACGACAACCATGGGCAACCCTACAGGCTTGGGGAGGAATTGCTGGCAAGCTGCCCGACAAAAAGGGACCTTGGTGTACTGATGGACAGTCAGCTGAATATGAGCCAGCAGTGTGCCCAGGTGGCCAAGAAGGCCAGTGGCATCCTGGCTTGTATCAGGAATGGTTTGGAGAACAGGACTAGGGAAGTGATCCTGACCCTGTACTCGGCACTGTTGACACCTCACCTCAAGTACTGTGTTCAGTTTTGGGCACCTCAGTACAGAAAGGACATTGAGGTGCTGGAGCAGGTCCAAAGAAGGGCAACAAGGCTTGTGAAGGGCGTGGAGAATGTGGCCTACAAGGAGGGACTGAAGGAACTGGGGCTGTTTAGTTTATGGAAAAGGAGGCTGAGGGGAAACCTTATTGCTCTCTCCCAACATCTGAAAGGTGATTGCAATGAGAGTGGTGACAGGTGACAGGACGAGGGGAAATGGCTACAAGTTGTGCCAGAGGAGGTTTAGGTTGGATATCAGGAAGAAATTCTTTACAGGAGGGTTGTTAAGCACTGCAATAGGCTCCCCAGGGAGGTGCTTGAGTCACCATCCCTGGATGTGTTTAAAAACCATTTGGATGTGGTGCCTAGGGACGTGATTTAGCAGAGGCTTGTTAGGGTAGTATGGTTACATCATGGTTAGACTTGATGATCTTTAAGGTCCTTTCCAACCTGAGCAATTCCATGGTTTCTATGATTTCTGTTTCTATGTTACGGCAAATTATTCCATGCATTTTGACACACTGGCTAAGTGAAAAATATGCAGCTGTGCTTGCTGTTTTGACAAAGGAATTTGAGAACAGGTTTCAAGATTGCTGAAAAAATCACCATTTTTTTTGTATATTTGCAGCCCACTTTCAATACATGACCTGCCATTTTCAAAAGGAATGTTTAAAATTGCAATCAGATATTCAACTCAAATGTCTGATTACATCTCTTTACCAGACTACTATAAGCTTTATCTTACCAGAGAGAAATAACCCTTACTTCACAGTCTTGCCTCACTCATGTCATCACGTTTTGGCAGTAGATACATTTGTGGACAAGTATTTTCAAGGACAAAGCTAAGTGTAAAAACTCATCAAAAATCTCTGACAGACATCTTGAGAGCTCACTGAGAACTGCAACTGCAGCCATCAAAGCAGGATGATGCATTAATTTCACAAAAACAAAGTCAAATATCCCACTACTTTTAAGTTTTAATGCTCTCTTTTTTTATGCCTTAATTAATTAATATATTTTAAAAAAAAAAAAAAAAAAAAAAAAAAAGCTTTCTTTTCTATATACATTAACTAAGTTATATATTTCATATGTGGCCCAAGACAATTTGTCTTCACTCAATATGGCTCTAGCACGCCAAGAGGTTGGACACCCATGCTTTAACAGACAAACATTTCATTCAAAATGAATTTTTGGGGCACAGGTTAGCTACAGAGTTCAGTGAATCTGCAGAATCCAATGAAAGGAAAATTTGGATAAATTAAGAAGACTGGATACATGCTTTCAATTAGCCCTGAAAATATTTGCAAATAATAGGACATCTGGGTGAAAAGAAAAAAACAATGAATTATTTGACATGACCACAATAGGTGCAAGTCTTGCAGCTGAGTTTTCAGACTTAGACTAACTGATCAATCTTCTATTTTATTTCAGCATGTGCAGACATGACATCCATGCTGTGCAGGAGCATGCCAAGACTGAGAAGGATATGCAGTTGACATGTCTACAACCAGGAAGTTATAGTGGAGTAACATCTCAAATACAGAGCAGGTGTAGGTATTTTTAACCAATAAGATTCTCCTTCTCAAGATTGATCGTGATTTTGAGTCATGGCAAGTACTGAAACATAGGGAGCTATGGCAATACATCAGGGAGTCAAAGTGCCTGGAAAGAAGAGATAAAGACTGATGTGGAGAAGTGATGGGAAGGATGAGATAACAGAGAAAAGTAGGAATTGAAATCAATATGGCTAATGAGAAAAGAGAAAAGTCTGTGATAGACTGACAAAAGGAAATACAGGACAAATTGTCAAAGGTGAGGACTAGATTGAAATACACAAAGAGAAGAGATGTGGACACACAGAGACAGATGTAATGAGCAGATTAAAATCTTCTTAAAAAAATGAAATTAAACCCATGATTTTGCAGAGCAGGCAGAAAATGTATCTGAAACTGCTGCCCAAGACACTTCCTTTTCTTTTATAGAGTGATCTACAGTGTAGTAACTGGCAGCATAACCCTAAAGCCTTCCTGCAGCTGTATGTTTTTTGTGATCTGCATTTTGGTTTCAGAGATCCAAATTGAAATCAGGTACTAGGTGCACAGCATATGTAAAACATCATTGTTTCTTGACTTTTAGAATTGAATATGTCAAGCCTACCCATGGCTTTGTTTAAATCTAGGACTTTTAGAATAATCAGGTTTAAAATGCTGTTTCATGAAGGGATTAATGTTATAAATGCTTTTACCATTGTGCTTTTAAAATAGGTTATTTGCAACCTATTTACATAGTCTTATATAAACTATTTCACTGACTTTTATAAATAAAAAAGTGTAACCGAATTCCAAAATTACTGTTTGACAGCTGATGATTTACACATCTGAATGATAAGAAAATGAATTTAAGCAGCAACTAGGGGGAAAAAAAGGCATAATGATAAAGCCAGTATATTATGATAAGTTGTCATTCTATCACAATGATATGATTTGCTTCTCAATTCAACTGTCTTAATTCAGCCATTAGTGAATAACTTACGATCACAGAGTATAGCACACTAAAATATTTGGTGTATGTGTCAGTAAAACTTTACACTCAAAGCAGCACCTCTAAGTTTTGATTGTAGTTCCAGTGCCAGAATTATTCCACCCAGTTACATGTATATATACTGTATATGCAATGTATATAAAGTACTTGTATGATGAGCAAGGAGCTGGTACACAAACTCAAAGGGAAGAATAAGGTCCAGGAAATGTGAAAAAGGATCTGACCACTTGGGAAGAATACAGGAATGTTGTCAGAGCCTGCAGGGATGTGAAAAGGAAGGCTAAAGCCCGCCTGGAATTAAATCTGGCAAAGGTGATAAAGGATAATAGAAAAGGCCTTTTAAAGTATGTTAACAGTAAAAGGAAGACTAGGGAGAATGTGGCTCCCCTGCTAAGTGACAGGGGTGTTCTGTTAACGGGGGATGCTGAGAAGGTGGAAATACTGAATGCCTTCTTTGCTTCTGTCTTCAGTGAAAAAAGCTCCCCATCAGGAATCCGAGACCCTGGAGGTTAGTGAGAGGATCTGGGGAATGGAAGACCTCCCTTCAGTCAGGGAAGAGGTGGTCCAAGAGCGCCAAGGCAACACCAATGTTCACAAATCCATGGGACCCGAGGGGATGCATCCACGGGAGCTGAGGGAGGTGGCAGAGGTGATTGCTGAACTGCTTTCTGTCATCTTTGAGAGGTCTTGGAGGACGGGGGAGGTGACTGAAGACTGGACGATAGCCAATGTCACTGCGGTCTTCAAAAAGGGCAAGAAGGAAGACCCAGGCAATTATAGGCCAGTCAGCCTCACCTCTGTCCCTGGAAAGGTGATGGAACAGCTGGTGCTGGATGTCATCTCCAGACAACTGGAAGAAAAGGAGGTTATCAGGAGTAGTCAGCACGGGTTCACAAGGGGGAGGTCGTGCTTGACCCATCTGGTAGCCTTCTATGATGTTGTCTCTGGCTGGGTGGATGGGGGGAGAGCAGTGGATGTAGTCTACCTTGGTTTCAGCAAGGCTTTTGATACTGTCCCCCACAACATCCTTATAACGAAACTGAGGAAGTGTGGGATAGATGAGTGGACAGTGAGGTGGGTTGAGAACAGATACGACAGGTTGGCCATGAGCCAGCAGTGTGCCCTTGTGGCCAAGAGGGCCAATGGCATCCTGGGGTGCATTAAAAAGAGCGTGGCCAGCAGGTTGAGGGAGGTGATCCTCCCCCTCTACTCTGCCCTGGTAAGGCCTCATCTGCAGTACTGCATCCAGTTCTGGGCTCCCCAGTACAAAAAAGACAGGGATCTCTTGGAAAGAATCCAGCGGAGGGCCACAAAGATGGTGGAGGGCCTGGAGCATCTCTGCTATGAAGAAAGGCTGAGTGAACTGGGTCTGTTCAGCCTTGAGAAAAGAAGACTGAGAGGGGACCTGATCCAGGTCTATAAATATCTGAGGTGTGGGGGGCAGAATGGCGAGGCCGGACTCTTTTCAGTGGTGAGTGGAGACAGGACAAGGGGAAACGGCCGGAAACTGCAGCATAGGAAGTTCTGCAGCAATGTGCGCAAGAACTTCTTTACAGTGAGGTGACGGAGCACTGGAACAGGCTGCCCAGGGAGGTGGTGGAGTCTCTTTCTCTGGAGATATTCTCCAGGAGAATGTCTCTGGAGATAAGACCCACCTGGACACCTGCTTGTGCAACCTGGTGTAGGGAACCTGCCTTGGCAGGGGGATTGGTCTCGATGATCTCTGGAGGTCCCTTCTAACCTATGATTCTGTGATTCTGTGATTCTGTATTGTACATCTTATTAGCCAGAAGCAATTTTCTGTTCACAGAATGTCTGTTCATGAATTAACAACATCAGTATGTTACTTCAGATTTCCTAAGGAACTATTGATACAAATTTTGGACTTTTGTCTTTATATGAGTATCAGCTGCTTCCCTGAAGCAACACTATATTTTCTCCCCGTAAGGCTGAAACTCAATTCAGATTAAAGTATGTATGTATTGGATAGACTGATGTCAGACACTGTGGGTGTGAAGAAAATCAATAAAAATATAAGCAAATAGCATGCTTAAAAAAATCGTTGCCTATTAAGCTGCCAATGAATTAACCTGACGAACAGTAAACACTAGCAGGCTTTTATATAATGAAAACTACAAAATAGGGGAAAAGTTACATTTTTCAAGCCTTTCACTGACTTTAAGATGCATTTTTAACAGAATACTGCAAGGTGTTTTATTATTGCCTAATTTCAAGCACATACTTCCACTGAAATTAATTAATTTCTTGTGCATGTCAAAATATTCTGTGCCTTTTTTTTGAGCTGTCTTTATACGTCATAAACATAAACACCTCAGTGTGCTTAGATAAAGCTTTCCATTGAAAAGCCTCCATTGAGGTTTTTTAAGCAGTTCTCAAGTCTTTTGGTACAAAACTCCCAGATAGCAATACAGCTGAAGCAAGAAAGGGAAGTTAGAGTCCAGGTACACTCCTCAGGGTCACTTAGTGATGAACCACATCCAAAACAATAGATATAAAGCCCTGCACAAAGCCCACAGTAGGTGCTGCAGGCAGCACGCATCCCATGAGAAGCAAAGCACAGTCCCTGTGCCAGAAAGAGGAATTCCTCATAGCCAAAAGGTTTTCTGTGGGGAACTGCCCTTCATTAGGCAAACAGAATGCAGTAGGTTGGAGAGAACCTGCCTCCCTGAGCAAGCAGAGAGTTGATCAGGAAGCTGGTCAGTTGGTGTGGGAGAAGGCTGAGAAGTTACCCAGAAAATATACTGCTCCATAAGGTGAAAGGCAGATGCAGTGGACAGAATTGTACTCCTAAAAGCTAAATAAAACTTGGCTGTGATGCAAGCTTGCACTGTGGACCCTTGATCTTCCACAAAAACTGCAAATACATTTGCAGGAACAGTACTGTCAGCTAGCATGATGTCCAGGGACAACAGAAATGGAGGCACTCCTCAGGGGTCATTCTCAGCAGGAAGGTCCTACAAGGGTTCACCAGGTTTGTCTCCCTTCACCCTGGCTTCATACCCTCAAATACTGCTGCCATATGCTCCTACCAGACTCTAGAGCACAATGGACACAATATATTACATACTATGGAAATTTCACCTTCAGAAGATTTTTTTGCAAGAAAATGTAATTTCAACATCATCTCACATGTTCTCTTCAAGATATGCACAGGGAGAAGTATGCATGTGTATATATTCCCATGAATAAATACTAATATATATATATATAACATATGCACACATTTTACCCCTTCTAAAAGCCTGAATAATATTTTAAGGCCATAGCTGGGTAAGATGGGTGCCTCAAGTCCGGAGTGTACTTCATCCCTGCTTTGTTAAGAATTCTGACGCAGCAGCCTTGCAAACATCTACCATTTCAAATAATACATAAAAAAATAGATACATAAATCAATCCCAGTAACACTGCTAACTTTGCTTGCTATCAGAAAAACACATTTATAACTGCTAGCGGCCACCTTGCAGTGAATTTTGATACAAAAAGTTACGAAGAGAGAGGTTTTAGGGAGAATAAACTTCTGAGGAAATAAGGGTGTTTTTTTCTAGAACAGACCATCTTACCGCTTACAAGACACACATGGTAAATTGCTTAATGTCTCTGAAGGTGACAACTGTGATGAGCCATGAAAACCTTCTGAGGAAGAAAAGGTTCAAATGAAGAGAGGAATTTTGAAGTAATGTTCCACATAGCTGAGACGGATCAAGACTATCTGAGACCAGAGAATATATTAAAAACCTTAGTATCTTACCCAGCACTGGAAAGTATTTATAATGATTTTATCACACGTTAATAACAGAGTTGGAAGGTGATATTTTGCTCTTAAGCTGCAATAAAACTTACTAAGAGATAGAGTTAAAGCTGGTAGCTGAAGCTAGAGGAAAATAATATCCAAAATAAGCAGGTTTTTTCCATTAAAAAGCAGCATGTACGTGTGGCATTTCAGAAAGAAGCTAGTGCAACGTCTCCAGAAAAACCAAGACTCAAAGCCATAAAGCGCTGCCTTCAAATCTGAGTACAATTGCTAAATGCATTATTAAGTGAGGAAGACATTTCCCAGCTTTTCAATTAATGGATTCTGAAAGGATTGTTGCATACATTTTTCCAGACACTTACCCTCACACCAGCAACTGCACCAACAACTGTTTCTAAAAGTCCTACAGAAAAATCCCTTTCCCCTCCATTTCTGATATTGCTATTTTTTTCCCATTACACTGCAACCTGGAATAGAAGGCCCTATAGACCCATTACACTGATAAAGCTATTTTCCAGTGCTACCTTTATGTGGGTTTTAAATGCTCTCTGCCATTATTCTTCTTGCACAGAAATATTACTAGAAGACTGCCATTTGATCAGTCTGTATTGCACTTTTTGGGAAATGCCAATGTTATCACTCTCTTCCTGTGGGTTATCCCACATAACAGTATTCCCACAGCTCAGCACAAGACCAGGCAACTGAATGTGCATGTTTTCATACAGAACTTTAGTGTTAGTTCTGTGAGAAGGCTTCAGGAAATGGCTGTAATGACTGAGGTTTATGTTCTTGAACTCTGTTTTGCAATCAGGGAACTGTTCAGAGCAACACGTTTTGCAAAGAGAGAATTGCATTTAAAATCCACAGTGTTGATTAGCAGAACATCAGGTTGATGATCCAATACCTTTTCATTTTAATTAAATGCACAGCTTATCAATAGCTGATCTTTTCACATCTCACTTAATTGTTTTACTGTATACACACATGCTGTTCTATATCTATTATATGGGAATCTATCATAAAACAGCTCAGTAATTAACAAATACCCCTCTCTTCATAATTGAATGTCTTCATAGAAAACATCAATATGGAGATAACAGAGGCAAATAACAGATTTTATGTCCCTCAAGTTCAAACATAACATGCAGATAGAAAATTCATATACCAAAAGTCTGGAACAAGGCCAGGCTTTTTAATGGTCAAAGATAGGTGGATGTAAAACACATTTGTGCCAGACGCTGCAAATGCCTGGGACATCACAGACCTTGCCATCTGTTTAAGTGGATGAGCCACAGATGTTCAGGCCTTCATGTGAGTTGACTCCAGAAACTGTATAGAGCATTCAGACTCCGAAAAGTGGAAGATTAAAAATCCAGCTCTTAAAAGTGGTTACACATCTAATTTGGATTTTATAGCTTTTCTCCACGTGAAGATTATTTATACATGTAAGGGACCCCTCGCCACAGCAATTTCATGTCCACGTACGTGTCACAGACAAAAGAAAGTAGAAAAAGCATTTTCATACAAATTTATTTCCTCTTCTGTATTGCTTTACTGATGAGACAGGTAAGAAGAGGCAGAAGGATAGAAATTAACACAGACTCACTGCCTGTACATTAATGAATCTTCAACTCTTCCCACTGATATCCAAACCTCAAACGGCTTAAGAAGGATCAAATCACTTGATAGTAAGACAAAAAATAGGAAGACTACATTTAAACTTCGCTAAATATTCATTTTAAACACCAATACTAAAAACCTTATGGTGCAGATTGAATGAAATCTTACATCTAAAATTTAAAAACAGCACATAAATTTAGCAAAAAAGTAAGAATTTAAGCTGTGCATGTGTATTTTTATGTACATACACCATACCCCAACTTTGTTTTGAGGGTATATCTTTATAAATAATACATGTAAAAATCCACTTATTTTTATGCTATAGAAATAATGATGCTAGGGAGATTGATATTAAGTGAAGGCCTATATTTTCAAAATTCTAAGACAGAATAAGCAAATGGGAAGTACAACTGGCATGATAAACTTGATGAGTCACAGACTGAAAATTTTGCATGGGAAGAGCTACTGCTTTCCTATCTCCTCTTGTCTAACATTCTATGTACAGTGTCCAATTGCAATTAAACAAACAAACAAACAAACAAAACAGTAGAAAAATATAAGTTTCAGGCAAAGGCAAAGGTATAAAGCTTCTT